GAAATTTTATCCGCATGTATGCATCACAATTTAAGTGCATAAATGATTCGCTGAGTTCTCAGCGAAAAAGGTGTGTCGAGTACTACTTTGAGTACTCATGTTGCTGTTTTTGAGGGTAGAGTATCTTTACTTGACCATAGAAAATAGAGTCAAAAAGTAGAAGTGCGTTGGGAAAATTCACTATGTTCCGTTATATAGTGCATAGTAATATATATTTTCCTGTTGTAGTTGTTTTTCAGATTGAATAACGTGCTGAAATCGTGTTTCAGTTTCTGTAGCCAGTAATGATCTACGATGATATTTAACTACTGATGATGTTGAACGAGGCTAATTTAAAGGATGTAATCGCATTCGATTGTGAGGTAAGTGAAAATACTGAATTAGTGGGCTTCACGTCTTAAACCTTAACGTATTTTTTTATCAGAGAGTTTGATCAACGAACGTCATTAATAATAGTCGAAAATACTCTATGTAGACTGATGGAAGTATTTTGGCATCATTATCAACATTTCAACGAATGTGGTTATCAAATGAAGAATATGATGAAAGTGCATTGTTAATTGTGCACAGAAAAGGCAATGTGTGTGTGTGTAAAGGCAAATGTGTGTATTTGAACGTCAATATTTTTTGTTTTTATAGTCCTTTTTCTTTCACTGTTACATGTTATTTTCTTAACAGACTATGGATTGTTGCATTCAAATAAACTGATGGATGTGGGAAGAAATATATAAATAAATTTGATGTACTTGTATACAAATTTTGACTGTAAAAAGGCAACAGGCATTTACGAGAAACGCTATTCTGAACAAATCTTCAACGTGATCAATATTTCCTACTTTATCAAAGCTTTAAAATTTCATATTTTCAAAGTTGATAATATTTGATTACTTGACTGCTGCTGATTAATTTCGCTCTAGAAATAGAATTTGCCCCAGAGTTGGAACCGGTCTAAAAATAAGTGGCCGGTTCAAAACAGCAGATCGGACCGGACCGGCCGACCCAAAACTCTTTTTAGACCGGTGAAAAACCGACAAACGACCGGCCGGTTTTCAAGAAATTTCTATACCGGTGAAAAACCGGCAAACAACTAAATTTAAGACAAATGACTTAACATACAATAACCTATAATTAAAATAAGAACAAACCAGACTGTTTTCTTCTTCTTCTTGTCTCTCTTAGTCATTCTTTGATATTGATACGGAAAACAAGACGGTAATAGCTATAGCTAGATAGGGATTTAATCCTTTTCCGTATCACTATCAAAGAATGACTAAGAAACAAAAGAAGAAGAAGAAAATAGTCTGGTTTGTTCTTATTTTAATTATAGGTTATTGTATGTTAAGTCATTTGTCTTAAATTTAATGTCTGAAAAAAAGATCAGTTTTTTGAATGAAGAAGAGAAAAATGCTAAGAATTTAAAACCGGTCGATTACCGGCCGATTTGAAAATATTTCTAGACCGGCCGGTCTAAACTTTTACACCGGACTGGTTCCAACTCTGATTTGCCCTCACGTTTTAAAACACACTATCTTTAAATTGTTGAATCTTCACGAAGAGTTTGATCGAATATTTCCAAATCAATATGTTCATCTCAAGCTAAAAAGTGTTTTCATGATTCTTTACAGATAAGACGGGGGATCTGCACAGCTCTTATAGTCTACTGAACCTACGACCGTTAGTTGTCCGTGCATATCTCTACATAAGAGAGCTTGTCACTGAAACTTTTTTAGAAAATTAATTATCCGATTTATTGAAAAACGTTACTTTTGTGGCAGACGAACACATTCCGAGACATGGATGTTGTTTTTAGTTGAAAACGACGAGAAGCCAAGTTTACATTTACAACTCATCTCATGCTAATTTGGCTTGCAAATTAAATTAGTGTATGGGAATTTTAAAAATAGAAAGCTAATCAGATGCGCATAAACAAAATAAGCATGCGATGAGATATGTACTTGAATTTGACTTTAGTTGATTTTCAACTGATGATTTATAGATTTAAATATGAGATAAACTTTAGTTTCGATCATTTAATAAATTACTAACTACATTCATTTATCATATTGTACTTTCTTAAATCATTCGACTTTTAAATATGTCATATATAATGTTTTCAGATTGAATAAAACGATTAACAATGAAACCAGTAAGTGGTTCACGTGCTGAAATTATGTTTCATTTTCTGTTTTTCTGTAGCCAGTAATGATCTACGATGGTATTCAACTACAGATGATGCTGAACGAGGCTAATAGAGAGGATGTAATCGCAATCGATTGTGAGGTAAAAAATACTTAATTAGTGGGCTTCACGTCTTAAACCTTAACGTATTTTTTATCAGAGAGACTCAAAACGTTATTTTGATCAACGAACGTCATTAATTAAAGTGTCAACATCCAAAAACGATTATATAATTGATGTACAATCACCACTAATGGATGCTGACGATGTTTTTCTATTAAATGAAGTTTGCATGTCCAAGTCTATCGTCAAGGTGGGATTTAGCTTTTCTTCAAGTTTTATGTAGCATCTTGACTGAATTTAGGTTATACACGATGTTTCTCAAGATCCGAGATATCTCTTGAAAGATTTCAACATCTCGTTTCAAAACGTGTTCGACACTGAGCTGGCTATGCGCGAATTGCAACATTCTCGATCAAATTTTGCTCATTGTATGGAACAATATTTCAATATAAACATCAACGATGATAAATATGCAATGAAACAGTATGATTGGGGTGATCGGTAAGTGTTCGTACGATATATATTCTAATTCACAATTACAGCATGTGTTTTCTGAGTGTAGTCCATTATCAAAAAAAGCACTGATATACGCCCAAACGGACAGTCATTATTTGTTAAAATTATATCACAAATTATACGAAAAGATGGACTTGGGTACAAAGCTCACAGTTGAATCAGACAGTCAATCACGAATGATACAAAGTCTTGTAAGACAACACTCTTTTATTGGTTCAAACTTATTTTATCTGCCAATTTCTTGTAGCACGTAAAACTACGGAAATTGAAAATGTTCGAATATCAATCAATGTACGAAAAAGAAAACAAACGAAGAGAGAAAAAACGTCAAAAGATGTTAGCATTCAATGCTGAACAGATGAATGTATTGAAACAAGTCGTTCAGTGGCGATTCGATTATGCAATGATGATTAATTGGAATGAGCGGTAAGTTGTGCTACGTTTTTGAACTATAGTTGACAATGTTTGCTTTTGTTTAGTTGTGTTATTCCAGATGTAGTCCTTTGGTCATTGTGTGAACAATCGTACATGTAGTAGATGATCATCTCTTTCTCTTACTTTTGCGTTTCTTTGTTTACAGATCGTCACGTGATGTTAGAAAAGCATATGAATATTGGAATTACAACACGACTAGAATGTCATCGGATATTTTTTCGTCGATTTTAAATATTATCTCTCCATGTGATCATGCGTACGTATCTCGATAGAGTTTCTATCAGAGTGTAACAGACCTGCCGTCGCAAGTTGGGTGACCGGACTGAATGTCGCAAGACAAAATGTCGCGGATAAAACGTTGCAAGACAAAATATCGCGGACATATCGTTGCGGACAAATGGTTGGAAAAAAAACGTCGCATGGACAAATGGTTGCAAGGACAAAATGTTGTATGGACAAAATGTTGCACGGACAGATAGTTGCAAAGACAGAACGTCGCAGGACATAACGTTGCAA